AGTTTGATATTGCAATAATTTCTGAAACATGGTATAAGCCTACTGACAACATTAAGTTTAATAACTTTAACGTCATTGCGGTTAATAGAGATAAAGGTTATGGGGGAGTAGCAATTTTCATTTCACATAAAATTATATACGACGTCATTCAAATTAATCATAATTTTAATCAAAAAATTGAAGTTTGTGGAATAAATATCATTCTTGGCAATCAAAAACTGTCTATAGTATCTCTATATAAACCCTCCAATGTTGAAGCGAAATCTCAAGACTATATAAATTTATTTAGTCAAATAAAACATGATTGCATAATAGGAGGCGACTTTAATTCCCATCACGGCATGTGGGGCTCACCTTCATGCTCACATGATGGCAGAGTTTTGGTGGATGCTTTAGATCATTTTTCAAACTTGATTGTTATAAACGATGGATCTGCCACAAGGATTTCCCCTCCTGGCCAGGCTAAATCTGCAGTAGATCTCCCAATTGCTTCATCTAAGGTATGTCCTACACTTGGTTGGTCTGTTAGTCAGGATACGTATGGATCAGATCATTATCCAATCAGTATTACGCTCAATAACTAGTATCACAATGATGATGCAATCACGTTCCCATTATATAGATGGTATATGAATGAAGCAAATTGGACCTTATATACAGCTGAAATAGAGAAATCATTTTCCACGCCACCAAACTGCATCGATACCAACGGTATGTGTATATTTTTAATGGAACAGATTACGAATGCTGCGAACAAAGCTTGCAAAATTCTAAGATCATCCTCAAATATATCATTCAAATCACCTAAATGGTGGGACGAGGAGTGCCGTGAGATATCGAATAAGAGAAAAATTGCATGCAAAAGGTACAAACAAAATATGTGTCTGGCAAACTTTGTTGAATATCAAAATATAAATGCTAAATTTAAACTAAAATTATAGAATTAAGAAAATTACAAAAAAATAAAAATCTGTATGTGCACGACGAAAATATCGTTGAAAATTTGTTCCATAAAATAGCTCCTTGCTATGTTCCTTCTCCAATATATCCCACTGAAGATACATTTAAATCACATTTTTTGTCATCTCCTATTAGTATCAACGAACTAACTGCTAATATCAAGTATTCTAAGAGATCCTCCCCTGGGATTGATGGTATCAATTATCTTATTATATATAACTTGCCTACAATAGCACTTCAATTTCTCCGTCATATTTTTAACAATATTCTAATTAAAGGTGATAGCTGCGATTCTTTAAAGCAGTGTCTTGTAATACCTATCTAATACCGATATCTCTTATGTCATGTATATTGAAAACATTTGAACGAATCATGAAAAGTCGACTAGAATGGTGTATGGAAAGTAATAACCTTTACCCAGACGGTCAGCTTGGGTTTCGTAGAGGGAAAGGAACTACGAACATTTCACACTTAGCAACCGATATCCAGTTAACTTATTCGAAAAACCAATACACAGCTGCTTTATTTGTGGACATTTCTGGTGCATATGATAACGTTATTCTCGACCTTCTGCTTGATCAACTTGTTAAATTAGAAGTGCCTAGTAAATGTGCTTATATCCTAGTCAATCTATTTACAAATAGACAAGTTCATATTCGTTTAAATAATTTGCAACCCCCTCTGTGGCTCAGTGGTAAGAGCGCCTACCTTTAAACCTAAAGGTCGTGAGTTCGAATCTCATCTGGGTGGAGACATTTTCGTTTATTAAAAATTAATGAATAATTAGTGAATATTTCGCAGATATTTTGACAGAAATAGCTGAAGACAAGCTGGGTAAAAAAGAGAAAGATAGAAAGGAATGGATATCAGATGAAACATGGAATCTTATCGAGGAAAGAAAACAACGAAAAAAAGATATCCTGCAAGCAAGAATTGTAGAAAGAAGAGCACACCGACAACAGGAATATCAAACAATAAATAAATCAGTTAAAAGCAAAGCAAGAAGAGACAAAAGAAGGTGGGCCGAAGAACTGGCAAAAACAAGCAGAAACAGCTGCACAATACAACATAACTAGGGAGCTTTACCAAATTACTAGACGACTAACAAAAAATGGGCCCAACTGTTCGAGTATTCTAAGATCCAAGACAGGCGAATTACTTACTACAACAGATGACCAAGTAGAGAGATGGAAAGAGCATTTTCAGGAGATGCTAGGTATTCCCAGAGATAACGCAGATGAAATTGTCGAAAACCCGCAGAATATAGACTTGCATATTTCTTGCGAGGCCCCTTCCAAAACGGAGATAATAACAGCTATCAAATCTCTGAGATACAACAAGTCACCAGGAATCGATAACATTGCTACTGAAATACTTAAAGCTGATCCGCATCTAACTTCTGAACTTTTGCTCCCCATAATCCGAGAGGTGGGGGAAATAAACCACATTAAAGCGGGCTAGAACAAAGGTAACATTATCAAGCTTCCAAAAAAAGGCAACCTCACACTGTGCAAAAATTGGAGAGGAATAACCTTGCTTCCTGTCATAAATAAAATTTTCACGACCATCAAACTGAAAAGATTAACAAACAAGGTTGAGCTTGGAGCTAATCAAGCAGGCTTTAGACCAGAATCCTCCTGTATAGACCACATTAATACTGTGAGGGTAAGAATGGAACAATCGGTTGAATGGAACACACCCCTATACATGGTTTTTGTTGATTTTGAACGTGCCTTTGACAGCTTGTCTCATACTACTGTATGGAAAATTTTAAAGCTAAGAACATCCCACAAAAAATAAATTCTATTATAAAGTCACTATATACTGATGCGAAACGCAGCGTGACACACAATGGAATCAACAGTGACGAATTCGACGTACTTACTGGAGTTAGACAGGGATGCGTGCTTTCTCCGTTTCTTTTTAACATAGCTATAGACTATGTTCTCTCCAAACTAGACTCCGACACAAGAGGGATACAATGGACGTTAACCACACGCCTAAGCGATCTAGAATACGCGGACGATCTCTACCTATTAGGTCAGAGATTCCAAGATCTGGCTTACCAATTGAAAACACTTTCCACTGAAGCCAATAAAATAGGTTTGAAAATCAATATTAGTAAAACCAAGTCCATGAGAATAAATGCAAGAAACAACACGCTATTTACTATCGACAATATGCAGATTGAAAATGTGGAAAATTTTAAGTATCTTGGAAGTGTCATAACAGAAAACGGAGGTACAGAAGACGATATTCGTATGAGGATACGAAAAGCCCAACAAGCTTTCAGCACGTTCAACCCTGTTTTTTAGATCTGGCGAGTATACTACAAGGACAAAGATCCGAATATTCCGATCAAATGTCATGTCTGTTCTACTCTACGGATGTGAAACCTGGAAAGTGACAAACACCCTCACATACAAACTGCAGGTCTTTGTTAATAAATGTGTACGAAGAATTGTCCGTATATTCTGGCCTAACACCATCAGAAACGAAGATCTACTACACCTGACCAAACAAAAAATGGGACAAAATGAAATTAAGTCCAGAAAGTAAGGTTGGATCGGTCACACACTCCGAAAAAATAGTTCCAGTATCGCAAAGACTGCCCTAGAGTGGAATCCTCAAGGGAAAAGAAAAAGAGGTCGCCCAGTACAAACTTGGAAAAGATCCATCATGGACAAGATAAGAGGCCAAGAAAATCTTGGAATGAGGTGAAGGCCTTAGCGCAAAATAGAACCTGATGGCGCGTTTTCACTGAAGCTCTATGCTCCACTTAGGAGTTCAAGAACCTTATGTATAGAACTCTCGAGAGAGGACTTATTTCAGTCCGATGCATAAAAGGAAACATTTGTTCGTTGTTTTTATACCAGTTTTGTGAATTTACACTACATGTGTTTTGTCATAATACTTATACAATTTTTTACAAAATTTTTTATAACATTGCTCAGCTTTTATTACGGCGCTAATCTAAAATTGTAAGTAACATCAATTTTTTCAAATAGCTTGTCAATTTTTGATGTAAAACTATTTGCAGCTTATCCCTGATGATGATGATGACTATCGACGAAGCATTGGAAAAATAAAGGAATAAAGAGTACACTTAGCCTATTCTTTCAGCTGTTTGTTTATATATATATATATATATATATATATATATATATATATATACAGATTGAACGAGATAAATCCGGAACATACGAAATATGTATTTCGGCTCAACTCCACTCTAGGTGGTTGGCCAACAAAAGGTTGTCAAATAATTATATTATAAAAATCCAATACTTCAGCGGGCTGCTGGATTCTGAACTCATTTAAGAACAAGTCAAAACTCCACCCAAATAGGTTGCCCAGCCCATCACGTATAAAAATTGAAAGCTACAAATAAATCTAGGATTTTATTATGCTGTCAAACCACTTATCGCTTCCCCCAGATGGATATTTTGAGCGGTGTTGCCAATCGCATTCCTCTAGATGTTTCTCAAATAAGGTGTTAACCATAAAATATTTACAGGAAAGAAAGGAAATAACTACAAACCATTAAGTTTATTTTTGTTATTAGTCTGTTGTAGCAGATTGGTAAATACAATGAAAAATATAGGCAAATATCCGATTTATTTAAAGATACGAAGAAGATATAACTCTCAAAAAGATCCGCAAATCGGATTATTATACGGCGATTGTAAACATTGACTTTGGGCCGGTACTATAGACCATGGTGCGTCCTAAAGGGAGACAGATAGTTGAACGATATTTTATACAATGTTTATGAACGGGTATGGATTTATTTTTGTCCAAGTTCAAATGCAGTTCAAACAGACATATATTAAATTGTATGATCCGTTTTAAATTCGTTCAATCTATATATATATATATATATATATATATTATATATATATATATATATATATATATATATATATATATATATATATATATATACATATATATATATATATATATATATATATATATATATATATATATTATAGATATATATATATATATATATATATATATATATATATATTCGAGCCTTCTATATTTATATATAAAAAATACGTTTCTTAACATTTTTTAAATGAAATTTATTATTTATTATTTATACACTGATAAATATCGTCCCAAATGCTCATCCTATCTGGCTCTGGATTGACATCCATCTTTAGTTCTTTTCCAATATCTAAGAAATTCAACTTTCCATTCTGTATTGGCTTCCACTCAATATTCAGATTATTATCTGATGGAGTTGGATTACAGAATTTGGCAAAATTGGTCCACAGCGTCACCAATTGTTTTATCCAATGTTTATCTTCATCCTTTAGATCTATCGCCAATGCATTTTTAAAAAGGTATCCGAGTTCATCTGAATGACATGCTCCTGTAATAAATATGTATTAGTTTATTATTTAATTAAAGCAAAAGCATTTTTGCACTGAATTTGACAATACAAGTTGTTCTCGTAAGTTAAGCTAAAAATGTTGAATTCCAGTTTAACGCATTTGTTTTCACCGGAAATGTTTACGTTAAAAATATAGACTCTTAAATTAAAATAAAGGTAACACAAGCTATTCGAAGTCACAAAGAATAGCTTTAAAGTTTAAAAGCAATTCCGTGTAGGGTATAGGATAAAAATCCAAAATAAACTTTTCTAGACAAACCTAACCTAACCATTCATACCCAAACAGAAACCTAACGAAACTTTTGCAAACTTCACCTAGTTCCATAATCGCGTTCACTGCGTCCGCTCTCTTCTGAAATTTCGACCGGTCAATTATGTAGAAATAAGGGGTGAAGATGCAAATTACGGTGCAATAACCTCGGAGGTCAGAAACCCAATCAACAATTTTGTCAGTATTAAGATAGTGGAAGAGTCTACAGAAGATCCTAGTCGTTTTTAAACGTTTACCCGCTACAAACACACAAACTTCGAGGAAAACTACGGTCGTTAAACCCCAGAAGTCAACGAAAATCCAGTGTTAAAATGTAGAAATCAATTTATATGACGAAAGACGATAAAAAGAAAGCGGAAGAAGAAAAGAAACCAGTTCCTTCGAAAAGAAATGCACCCAAGCATCATTATGTACCTGTAAGCGAATTTAATTTTTTTCTAATCATAATTTAATTGCTTCACAAGCTTCATCTCTTAGAATTAGTAATTCTATTTCAGGTATTAGTGAATCGATTATCGAACCTGGTGCTGCTTCAATTTCGCAAAATAACTCAGCTTCTCAATTTCGTTTAAAAACCAACGTTAGTGCTTTAAATAATACTTTAAATAGCTTAGATATACCATCTACAATTATTACTCCTGCTAGTTAATTAAATACTATGGCCGTGGCACCCGCTACCACTCTAGTTTTCGATGTCAATAAAGATCTTTCCATCGTGCCTGATTACGATGGTAACCCTAATGAACTTCACAACTTCATTGAAGTTACTACAATGCTTCTTAATCATTTCTGGGATCCAATAATCCCGATAACTTTCAAAATTACATGATAACTCAAGGTGTAATGAATAAAATTAAAGGAAGAGCTCGAGAAATCATTTCCGTATATGGGTGCAAAGATTGGTCCACAATAAGGACCATACTAATTTAAAATTTTGATCGATCAACGTAATGAAAATTCACTTACAAGAGACATGGTAAACTTAAGACAAGGGCCTAACGAAACTCCTCAACAATTTCACGAGAAAGTAATGTCACTTTTAAACACAATTTTAAATCACATCGAACTACATACCGACACTGCAGATGTAAAGAAAAGCAAAAAGGAATTCTTTCAACTACAGGTCCTAACTACGTTCTTAGCAGGATTACGAGAACCAATGGGATTTAACCATACGATCAATGAGGCCTAAAAATCTTGCTTTCGCTCTTTAATTCATCCAAGAAGAAAATAATATTAGATATGTGCAGAAAACAACTAATTTTTCATTGCCAAATAAGAATGCTACCCACATACAACCCCAGAGACAGCACAGTTTACAACACCATCACAATGGCAACAACCCATGCCCAGACCACAGTTACATCAACCATTTTTCGGAAGTAATCCAGCACTGCCCCGACCAACATTTACCTCAAGATGGCCATTACAACCCGCTCGATTACAATCACCAAGGCAACAATTCATGGCAAACACAACCTCCAAGACCTAACCTATGGGCAAGCAGACCACGACAACAGTACAAACCAATACCGATGTCTATAAGTACACGCCAAACGGGACATAACAAAGGTTCAAGCTTCAGAAACTTTAGGCCGCAGCAACAGCAACCACACACCCTAAAGTTCGCCGTAGAGGAACTGTTCAATATTGAACAACTAGACGAAAACGATTCCGATGCCTACTATGGAGAACAGGCATATTACCATCCAAATCAGGATGCATATTCAGATGACTACCACTTAGAAGATTACTAAAATGTCCAATACGAAGAAAAATATGTAAATTTTCCAAAACTCCAAGAGGAAAACGAAAAAACGTAATCGAACTCAATTCCTATTCAGACAAAAAAGAACTTCCATATATCGAAATAAAAAATCCTCCCCTTAAACTTCTTCTTGGTACAGGGGCAACCAAATAATTTCTTAACCCCGAAATTGCATCCAAATTGTATAAAATTTTTATCAAACCCGAACCGTTTGTAGTCAGTTCAATATTTCAAAACAATTCACAGCAATATTGTGCTGAAATTCCAATCTTCCCAGAATTTAACTCTAATATTAATTTAAAATTCTACCTTTTTAAATTCCATAAAACATTTGATGGTCTTATCGGCATCGATAACTTAAAACTTCTACAAGCTCATCTTAATTTCCAACGTCCACACTAACTACAGCACACTCAGTTCTTCCTATCTTTTATTATGAAACCAACAAAACACAATTTTATATAATTCAGTTGGAACCCAGAACAATCACACAAGTACGACTTCCAGTAAAACAAACAAAAGGCACCATACTTATACCAAAACAAGAAATACAAAGGGCAACTCTAAGAGAAACTCTCAGTGAAGTCTGCAATCATCTAGTCTGGACCGAAATGATCAACAATACTGATGAACCTATTCAAGTAACACTCACCGATCCTGTTAGAAGCAATCCAATATATCTTCATGAATATCACCTGTATACTTCGGACATCATTCCAATGGAAACAGAAACAATAATAGATAGCGATCCTCTCATCAGAACAGATCATCTAAATCCAGAAGAAGAGATGCACATCAGACTCTTATGCAGAAAATTTGCAGATATATTCCATAATCCTGATGATACTTTAACATTTACAAATCAAATAAGACACCACATACGAACAACGTATGAAGTCCCAGTTTTCACAAAATCATATCGATATCTACACGTACATCGAGAAGAGGTTCAAAAACAGATAACATCAATGCTGGACCAAGGAATCATCGGACCAAGTTAGTCACCCTGGTCATCTCCAATATGGGTCGTACCACAAAAACTAGACGCCTCTGGAAAAATTAAATGAAGAATCGTAGTCGATTACAGAAAGATAAATGAGAAGACTATAGACAATAGGTATCCAATTCCAAACATCACGGACATCCTTGATAAACTCGGACGCTGTCAATACTTTTCCACTCTCGATCTAGCCAGTAGATTTCACCAAATATAAATGGCAGAGGAAGATATACAGAAAACAGCATTGAACGTGGAAAATGGCCATTATGAATACCTTAGAATGCCTTTTGGTTTGAAGAATGCACCCTCTACATTTCAGAGAATAATGGACAATGACAGAAAGTTCATTACGGATTTCGCAAAAATAACAAAACCGCTCACCTCGTGTTTAAAGAAAGATGCCAAGATAGAACACACAGAACAATTCCTAAACTGTATCAAAATCTGCAAAAACCTGTTAACCAACGAACCACTTCTACAATATCCGGATTTTACGAACCCTTTCAATCTCACCACAGATGCAAGCAACTTTGCTATAGGTGCTATCCTGTCAAGGGGTCCTGTAGGACAAGACAAACCCATTGCATATGCATCAAGAACACTGAACGAGATCGAGCTTAAATATTCCACCATCGAAAAGGAAATGCTTGCAATCGTATGGGTTACTAAATATTTTCGACCTTATTTATTTGGAAGGAAGTTTAAAATTCTCTCCGATCACCGACCATTTCAATGGCTATTCTCTTTAAAAGATCCGAACTCGAAACTTGTTAGATGGAGACTAAAACTTGAAGAATTCGATTATGAAGTCATATACAAAAAAGGAAAATCCAATACGAACGCTGATGCATTATCCCGTGTCGAAATTCACACTAAAGAAGTAAGTACCATCGACGAACACGTAGAAGTAAAAATCAGTCTATTATCCAGAAAAGAAGATGACAACATATCTATGATCAACCATCCAAACTCAGTATGCGATCCAGATGAAGAAGATCCTATGGTTAACTTAGACGAAATTATCAAAGAAAAACAAACTTCCGGCCTAACTGCAGAAGAAATGAAAGTAAAAGACGAACTTCTACAAGAAGAAAACCAAAAGATTGAAAGTTAGCCAACAAAATCGCTATACCAACAAGACAACAACACAGATGGTACCCAACATTCTACAGAGGAAAACCCAATACTCGGAATTCCTATCAGCGAAAGACCATTGAACTGTTACAACAACCAAATCATATTCAAATTGGTAAATTACAATCCTGCAAAACCTATACAGAGCTTCCTAACAAAGAAAAGAATGCACGTCCAACTAGATAAAAACGACATAAACAACGATATTTTCAACTTTTTGAAGGACTATGTCGACACAAAAAAGGAACATGCCATCCTATTCAAAACTGATCAACTCTACCAGTCTGTCTGCAACATACTTCGAGAAACATTAAAGAATTCTGCATTTGATCTTGTAAAATGTAACAATTTACTAGAAGATATAAGCAGTCCAGAAAGACAAACAACCATCGTACAAGACTATTACCAAAGAAAGATAAATCATAGAGGAATTAATGAAACAGAAATTCAAATCAGAAAATACTATTACTGGCCAACGTTGAAAAAGGATATAGAAGATTATATTAATCTCTGCAATACTTGTCAAACAAACAAATACGACAGAAATACAGAAAAACCGAAGTTTATGTTAACTCCAACACCAACAAAACCACTGGAAATTGTTCACATAGACACATTTCAAGCAGCAGGACAAAAATTCATTACCATCATCGATGCATTTTCAAAATACGGTCAAGCGTACCCAATAGAAGGATCAAACACGATCAACATCTTAAACGCATTCCTGCTATTCATCACCCACCATGCACTACCACATATTTCCGATAGTGGAACTGAATTTAAAAATTGACTTGTTCAAGAATTCG